AGCCTAGACTGTGTAGCTAGAACTGTCATGTAATAATGTGTGTTTATTATTACAGTTAGCCTAGACTGTGTAGCTAGAACTGTCATGTAATAATGTGTGTTTATTATTACAGTTAGTAGACTAGCTACACACTCTAGGCTAACTGTAATAATAAACACACATTATTATATGACACTTCTAGCTACACACTTCTAGCTACACACTCTAGGCTAACTGTAAAATAAACACACATTATTACATAACAGCTATAGCTACACACTCTATGCTAATTGTTCACAAATAAACTTTATGTATTACATAACACTTCAACACTGATCGTTATTGGTACGTTCAATACACATATATAACACAACAACACTGATCGTTATTGATACGTTTAGCACACATATGTAACACAACAACACTGATCATTGTTGATGTGTTTAACACATATGTAACACAACAACACTGATCGTTATTGGTACGTTCAATACACATATATAACACAACAACACTGATCGTTATTGATACGTTTAGCACACATATGTAACACAACAGCACTGATCTTTGTTGATATGTTTAACACATATGTAACACAACAACACTGATCGTTATTGATACACTTAATACTGATCGTCTTTGATATGTTTAACACACATATCTAATACTACAACACTGATCGTTATTGATACGTTTAACACACATCCGTAACTCAATAACACTGATCGTTGTTGATATGTTTAACGCATATACATAACACAATATAACATATATTGTAAGAATGATTTCCTGCTGCATGACACCTAAAATATCTAACAAATTTTCGGTTTTATACACTTGCGTGCTTCTCTTGAAGGAAAAAAATATTTATGGGTTCTTCCACGAGATGGCTGTCGACTCTTATAAAAAAAATCCTAGAAAATCTGAACACTTTACAACGCGAATCTTGAACAACAGTAACATCTTATGATAGTGATTTGATCTGAAGCAGCTGAGAATTCGAGGGCTACAAATATGAGCATTATTTTAAATCAACAGAACTCAGAGAAATCACTTTATAAAACACAAGTAATATTCGTCTCCTCACTTACCAGGTTCCTTACTCCACAGTGAGGATCCATGTAAGGAATAGTCAGTGACGTCACCAGCAACCCTGCACCCAGAGTCTGACACTGAAATTCATTCTCCGCTGTCCGAGAGTATATCCTTCCTTTAAAAGGTTGAGTGCTTTCCATTGTAACTGTTAGGCTACTTGCTCCACAGTCTAGACTAACTGTAAAAATGAACTTGCACATTATTACATGACAGTTCTAGCTACACACACTAACTGTAATAATAAACACACATTATTACATGACAGTTCCAGCTACACACACTAACTGTTATAATAAACACACATTATTACATGACAGTTCCAGCTACACACACTAACTGTAATAATAAACACACATTATTACATGACAGTAGTGTTACATATGTGTTAAACATATCAACAATGATCAGTGTTGTTGTGTTACATATGTGTATTGAACGTACCAATAACGATCAGTGTTGTTGTGTTTCAAATATGTGTTAAACGTATCAACAACGATCAGTGTTGTTATGTTACATATGCGGTAAACTCTATAAGGGTTCAGTTTTGTGTTTTAGATTATTGTTGATACTGATAAACAAGTTTTTTTATTTTTATAGAGAAACGGGACATTGATGGTTGAAATTGTTGTTCAAAGACATCCTCAGATAATGATGAAAGAAGACGTGGCTTACAAATTATTTTGTAACTTCAACACAGAAGACATTGTAATAACAAATAGCATTGCGATAATGTGAGTATCATATAACCAAGTCGTGTTTTCCTTGGTGACTTCTAAAATATCAAGTTATGTTTTTATACTTCTTTGTTCATCGGTTTAGAACATCCACCTATCTTCAGCCTTTTTCTTTAAGGCCGTGACTACTCATCCATCTTCAGTCATGTTCTTTAAGGCCTAGACTACTCATCCATCTTCAGCCTTTTTCTTTAAGATACTACCCATCCATCTTCAGTCCTTTTCTTTAAGGTCTAGACTATCCATCCATCTTCAGCCTTTTTCTTTAAGGTCTAGACTACCCATCCATCTTCAGTCA